TTATTGAATTCTTTGAAGAGGTGACCAAATATGTGGATGAAGGTAGAGCAGTGGATGTGGTATACATGGATTTAAGTAAGGCGATTGATAAGCTTCCCCATGGTAGGCTCAGGCAGAAGGTAAGGAGGTATGGGATAGGGGGGAATGTGGCAAATTGGATTCAGAATTGGCTGACCCTTAGAAGACAAAGGGTAGTAGTGGACGGAAAATATTCAACATGGTGCTCAGTTACGAGTGGTGTACCACAAGGATCTGTCCTGGGTCCTCTTCTATTTGTGATTTTTGTAAATGATTTGGATGAAGGAGTGGAAGGGTGGATTAGCAAGTTCGCGGACGATACGAAGGTGGGTCGCATTGTGGACAGTGCAGAGGGCTGTTCTAGGTTACAAAGGGACATTGATAGGATGCAGAGCTGGGCTGAGAAGTGGCAGATGGAGTTTAACCCTGAAAAGTGTGAGGTGATTCATTTTGGAAGGACAAACTTGAAAGCAGAATACAGGTTTAACGGAAATATTCTTGGCAGTGTGGAGGAGCAGAGGGATCTTGGGGTTCATGTTCACAGTTCCCTGAAAGCTGCCACCCAGGTGGATAGAGTTGTTAAGAAGATGTATGATGTGTTAGCTTTCATTAATAGAGGGATTGAGTTCAAGAGCCGTGAAGTTATGCTCCAGCTATACAAAAGCCTGGTTCGGCTACATCTGGAGTATTGTGTCCAGTTCTGGTCGCCTCATTACAGGAAAAATGTGGAAGCGTTGGAAAAGGTGCAGAGAAGATTTACCAGGATGTTGCCTGGAATGGAGGGAAGGTCTTATGAGGAAAGGTTGAAAGAGCTAGGGCTTTTCTGTTTAGAACGACGAAGGATGAGAGGTGACATGATAGAGGTGTACAAAATGATCAGAGGTATAGATAGAATAGACAGCCAGAAACTTTTTCCTCGGGTGGAGGTAGCTATTACGAGGGGGCATAGTTTTAAAGTGAGTGGAGGTAGATATAGGGGAGACATCAGACTTAGATTCTTTATTCAGAGAGTGGTTGGGGCATGGAATGCATTGCCGGAGCAGGTAGTGGAGTCGGCCTCATTAGGGGCATTTAAGCGGCTATTCGATAGGCATATGGATGATAGTATAAGGTAGCAGTGGAGGTTAGATAGGCCTTAGGATTAGGGTAAAAGTTCGGCACAACACCGTGGGCCGAAGGGCCTGTACTGTGCTATACTGTTCTATGTTCTATGTTCTATGTTCTTTGTTCTAATACTGAAACATGTAAGTCATTAACTCAATTGACTTCTCATTCTGTGCCTTCTTTGAGTTTCTGATCTCTAGCCTAGGCAGTTTTCAACTTTCTCCTCTGAAATAGGAATTATTGATTGAACAAGTGGATCCAATTCAATAGATATTTCTGGGTCAGTAATACTGTCTGTCTGAGATAGCAAGGTCCAGCTGTGCACTGGAAGCCAAACTACTGTCTTCATTGTGTTCTGAAGCAAAGATGGCCTGTGGTGCTGATACCATTTTCCAAGAAGGTCAACACTGTTTTTTTTTAAATCAGCACAGAAGTATTTATCTCTCCAATGTCTGATTGATGTACAATTAGATTCATCATCTGAATTTTACCAGAAATTGGCTAAGTGTCAATTTTGGCAAGTTTCATGAAGGATTTCTCTCCGTGATCCTTAGTAAGTTTTTTTTTATACTCTGCAAGTTCTCTGCAACTTGCTTCTTTAGCTCTGCACCATATGACACTCTACGTGGACTATCTTCCCTTTTACCACTGCGGGCACCTCCTGAAATTCCTACTATCACTGCGTTTTTAAATGCACCACGTCAAGCATGTAAAGTGTCTGGGCAGCAGCATTAGAATAAGAGCCACCAGTGTCCTTCAAAGTGCAGCATTGAAGTGCAAAACTATATCGTAAATCATTCAGAGATGTGCCACAAGTGTCCAGTGGGACTGTTACATGTCAAATGCCCAATATCCATGGACAAAGAGGCACAGTGGTGAATGTCCATCAAGTGTGCCTTGAGATGTTGAGGGCTGATACCCAAGATGGAATCCTGAAGGAGCAAGCAGTGAGCTGGAGATTGACTTTCATGTGGGGAATTATTGCTGTCTAGTGATAATTATTTCTATCCAATGAGTAGGAGAATAGGAAACTGCATATTAATGAGGAGATATTAAGTAGTAATTGAATGTGAATTGATGCAAAGAGGTCTGTAACTGCTCACTAGCAAGGTTCTTATCTTGTCTTTCAAAGCTTGAATGGAGAATCTCATCCTATCTTCCCGCTGACTAGCCATTGTCCATGTCTTTTGGGGGCTGGAAAGATTCCACGCATCATGCGCAATTATGACTTACTTCAAAAGGTGGAAAATCTACAAGATTTGTTGGGTATGTGGTACATGCAGAACTGGTGTTGTATATAAACTCATCAGTCTCCTAATGTGGGAAGTTCAATTCAAATTACCCCAAAGAATCATAGAGCATAGAAGGAGACTGTTTAGTCCGTCATGTCTTAGTAGGTTCAATGAAATTATTGTTTAATTAGTCTCCTACTTCCCTGCTCTTTCCACATTCTTCTGAAAAATTCTCTGTTTCTAATAAATATATATAATACACACACACACATATACAACCAGCTTTTCAATGTTGCTGTGGAGTCTGCTTTCACCATCCTTTCAGGCAGGGCATTTCATACCATAACAATTATACTGCATTAAAGAATACAATTTATTCTGTCTCCCTGGATATTTTGATAATTATTTAAAATCTGTAACTTCTGGTTATTGATGCCTCTGCCAGTGGAAACAATTTCTTGCTATCTTCCCTATCAAAATTTCTTAAGGTTTTGAACAAATTCATAATTCCTTGTAAGTGGAGTTGCAGGTGTACAGGATAGTGAAGAAAGCGTTTGGTATGCTTGCCTTTATTGATCAGTGCATTGAATATAGGAGTTGGGAGGTCATGTTGTACAGGTCATGTTAGGCCACTTTTGGAATATTGTGTTCAATTCTGGTCTCCCTGCTATAGGAAGGATGTTGTGAAACTTGAAAGGGTTCATAAAAGATTTACAAGGATGTTACCAGGTTTGGGGGGTTTGAGCTATGAGGAGTGGCTGAATAGGCTGAATGGAGAGGAGAGACTGAAGAAACTGTAATTGTTCATTAACAGAGAAAGTTGCAAGCCATAGAGCTGTCCCTTTTAAATCTTTGCCCTCTCACACTAAACCTATGCCCTCTAGTTTTGAACTTCAAGAGGTGGAAAATCTGCAAGATTTGGTGGATATGTGGTATGTCCTGCATGAACATGTTTGGTCACATTATGAATGACCTTACTTGCTTAAGATATAGTTGTCTCAGGATCACAGACGAATACTATATCCATATTCTGCTAACATTTATATGGGTAGCACTCAGGAAACATAGAGTTGAAGCAAGAACCCACACACACTGACTATCAAATACTGGGCTGAGACTTGAATTTGGGATGGTACTCTGCACTACAAGACAACTCACTAATATCATAATTACTGCTTTGAACCATTTTCACTGGTCCTGCGAAGCTAATTTCCTATGAGTAGAATGTTGAATTTCTTCATTAAGATAGAAAAGTCACAGCTTTAAAAATCATATTGTAAACATTTGTTTATATTTGTTTTAGTTTCTAATTTAATCCAGCCTTAATTATATACCTTACTATCTGGGTATTTAAAAAACAAGTGGCGATTCAGTGTTTGCAATTTCCAGATTTAACCTTTGAAAATAATTCAGTTCAGGATGACCAGATATCCAAGTTTTACTAGGATAATCACAGATTTTCATTAAATGTTTTGGTTTCTGACAATTACCTATGAATAGTTCAAATGCCCTGATTTTCATCTTTTCCTTTTTTGTTGAATGCAGAACTGGTCTGAGGGAGAAAATCCATCTTGTTTGCTTAAACACCCATCGCACTATGCTGTATTTCATTGCACGCTGCAGATTTGTATTCCCCCATCCACTTCCCCTTGATGTCTCCAAGGGAGTTGTCACTGGCTTTTTCATACTGATGGCTCCATTGCTAGTGATACCTTTTAGAAAAATCTACTGAATAAATTGACAACTCTTGCTGGCTCATTCTGAGAGATATAATCACACAGTCTTCTACCTCCAACTGCCCCTCCTCCTGACTCCTGGCATTGGCCCCTCAACATGTTCAATCATTATGGGGTCTCACCTTGCCACAGTTTTTCAATTGCCCTGGTTATGACTTTTGAAAAGTTACCATAGTTCAGATGATTGGCAGGTTATTGACATTACTGCTGCTGAGATCCTTGATACTTGTTTGAGATTTAAACTTCTGTAAGGAAAAGTTCATTGACTGCAAAATCTAATCTATGTTCTTTAACAGATGAAACATTGGTTTATGTATTCTGTGAGTTTAACTGCTGGTTACGCAGATAAAATATATTGAAATTTCAAGTCTCTTGTTGTAAAACATCTTCTCAACTGGAAATTAATTGAACTGTAATGTTGCACTGTTATGAACATTAGAATTCAGAGATCACTTCATGAGTGTGCCAAATGTTTCTCCACTCTGCTGACCTCTGCACATTATCTGAGGTCCCAGAGTTGATGTAGGTAAAGGGCAGGTAAGCCATGCGAGTGCTAGTATCTATTTATGTCGTCTCTAAGTATAGGAGAGCTGCATTCCAAAGCTAGACCACCATTACGCAGGCGTCAACACTGGGAAATGTTATTTGCTTTGCTAAACCACTTAAACATATTATTTTGTATTTATTTTCAGCGACGTAGAATAGACATTTGCTCATTATGACAGCGGTTCCTGTGAGTAGCTGAATAAATAATGAATTGTGCGGTAACTGGTGCATTTCTCTTGGATGCTGCACTTCACTGACACTTTCTAATCGTTTTTGGGAGAAACTGGCGCCGCGCGGCATTCCGGGAGTTGTAGTCTGTCTGGACTGAGCGTGAGTTTCGGGTTTGATCGTCATCAAAAAGCGAAGATTCTGGCTGGTTTCGTCATTACTGTGCGCCGAAACGGTCTCCAGGTAGCGGTGGAAAGATGGCGGATACTTTGAATGTTGGGATAAATCTGGATGCATTCGCTCATGCCATTAACGCTATCCAGCAGCTTCGGTCCAGTGTTACCCGAGTTTTTGACACGCTCAAGGATGGAATGAAAAATAAAGAGAGTTTGGAGGGCCGGGAAAAGGTCTTCATCAGCGACTTTCAGGAGAATCTTCATGCTGTCAACAGGGACTTGAAGTAAGTTAGGCGCCGAGTTTTGGAGCAGAACCCGAATATTGAGCTGTGGCTGTAGATTAATTCCTTTTCAGAAAGGAGTGTTTCAGTTACTTGCGTTTATTGCTGTAGCTGCGAAGCTTGCTCGTAGTCGCAGTTTCCTAAATTGCAATCTGTGAGAGTTAGTTCATGGACTTCAAAATAAAAGTGGAGGAATGTTCCTATTGATTGCAGTGAGATGCTACGACTGAGACTTTTAAAAAAAGGATTAATTTGGTAGGTAGTTTAGAGCTGGTCCTCAGCTGTATGTGGTGATGTGTATTTACTTTCTGAAACCTCTCTTTATCCATTTTCCAACAGTCCACAGCTCTTTGTTTCTTTGCAGATCTTTCGGACATTGTGAAATATTTTGAAAGTCACTGCAATATAGCATAAATAATTGGTACTGTAGGGTAAAGATAAACATGTATGAGTTTCCCAGATTGCAGAGTAAATTCTTCTTTTGGGATTGTTATAAAGTGGAGGTTGTCCCCCTCTTTCCCCCCCCCACCTTGAGATCCAAAACTGAAACACCCAAAGAGGAGCATCTTGCCCTATAATCTGTTAAAGGTGTATGAAAAGGGGTGTAACCTGTCTTTCAGCAACTTCTGGTGGTTAATTCAAATAAATTCCAGACATTCACTTTACAATCAGCAAGTGACAGTTTATTTACCTAACTCTAACAGTGAACAAGTTAACTATTAATAAACTGAACAAATCCCTTCTAACTACTAACTGTTCCCGAATAATGCAAGATTCTAATGGTAGGCTGATCCAATAAATGCAAGTCCCACTTATATAACAAAACAATAGAATTTAATCTGTCAAAATTACAGCCAGGTTACGTCTTCTGGAATGTTCTAATGTCTTCTCTGTCAAACCTTCTGTCAAGAAGCTTAACTAGGATTGCTGTGGTACCGTTGTAAATAGAGGTGCTTTCTGTAAGAGCTGAGAGCTGTTATCTGTAGCAGATGGCAGTTAGCTCTCTATACTTGCAAACTTTCAAACTATTCACAGACATCTCTAAGCAATTAAAAAATCATAATCTTTTAAAGGGACCATGCAATGCTTTACCCCGCCCCTAGCATTTTACAAGCACCAAATTCTAACGTCTTGCCTCCCAATCCATAAATACTCTACCCAACTTCACAAAACCTCCTGTCTTAAGAAAAAAATGAACAATTATTATGACAAGATGGCTTCATATTTTTTCTAAAGCCTTAACTCTATTGTATTGATAGATCCATAGTTCATTAATCTAAAGTTACACATTTTATACTAATTCCATTTATATATAACATTGAACACTACCCTTTCTATCTTGTATAAATATTTTTCTTTTAAACCTGCGATAAAGCATCCACAGTTTCATTTTCCCAAAATAATCTTAAATCTTTCCAGAAATGTTGAAGGATTGTGATTGGTAAAAACAGCCATCTCTGAGTCATTGTTTGTAGCATAAACATTAAAATGTTGTAAGGCCAGTATCAAACTCAGTAACTCTCTTTCAATGGTTGAATATCTCTTCTGGTGGATATTGAGTTTTTGAAAAATAACCGATTGGCCTTTTAATTCCATAATCATCCTCCTGTAATAACACGGCTCCAACAACTATATCACTTGCGTTGATGGCGACTTTGTAAGGTTTCAAGGAATTTGGTGTGGCTAAAACTGGTGCGGTGGTGAACACTGCTTTTAAATTCTCAAATATCTCCTGTCATTGCTCTGTCAATCGAAATTTCATTTTTTTTTTTAACAAATCTGTCAATGGTGCCACTATGTTACTAATGTTTGGTACAAATTTCCTGTAGAATCCGCTCAGTCCTAAAAATCGTAGCACTTCCTTCTTCGAGGTTGGTCTTGGAAATTCCTTGATGGCCTTCATCTTCACGTTTCTTGGTGTCATCGGTCTGTATCTGATGTTGTGCCCTAAGAATGTCACCTCTGCCTTCGCGCATTCTGCTTTTGTCAAGTTTATGACCTACTTTGCCTTCCACAGTCTCTCAAAGAGCTCTGCCAAATACTTCATGTGATCTTTCCACGAATGGATAAAGATCACTAGGTCATCTATGTAGACGGCACAATCAGTCAATCCTGCAACAACTCTGTTCGTAAGCCTTTGAAAAGTCACTGGTGTGTTTTTCATTCCACAAGGTGTTACTTTAAATTGATATAGCCCATTTGGGGTTACAAAAGCAGAAACTTCTTTTGCTCTTTCCAACAAAGGTACTTGCCAGTAACCGCAAAGTAAGTCCAACTTTGTGACGCAAGTGGCTTGTCCTACTTTTTTTTTTTTACACAGTCTTCTGGCCTTGGCATTAGGTATGAGTCAGATTTGGTCACGGCGTTGACCCTCCGATAATCTACACAGATTCATTGAGTGCCATGAGTTTTGGGAACCAACGCGATCAGCAAACTCCACTCGCTTTGACTAGGCTCGATGTCTTCTTGGAGCATTACTTCTACTTCCTTCTGAACTTGCACTGCTTTGAGAGGATTAAGCCTGTAGGGATGTTGTTTTATCAGAACAGCATTCCCTACGTCAACCTCATACTATCGTGTTAGTTCTCCCCATTCTATTTCTACATATGTTACGAATGGGATGCCGTGGTTGGTTCACTGGCTGAGCTGGTTGGTTAGTTCGCAGATTTTTCATTACCCTGTTGGGTAACCTCATCAGTGCAGCCTCCAATGAAGCACTGTTGTGTTTTCCTGCCAGGTATTTAAACTTTGGGGTCCATTGGATTTGATTACCTCATTTCTGGTTTCCCTTCACAGTTGTGTACATATAGGGTCTAGTTCTATGTGTTTGTTGATGGCCTTCTTGGTGGAGAACCAGGTCTCTAGAAATTCCTGTGCTTGTCTCTGTTTGGCCTGCCCTAGGATCCCCTGGTATTGTCCCAATGGAACTGGTGGTTCTCCTTATCCGTGTGAATGGAGACGAATGAGTATTGGTCATGTCTTTTTGTTGCTAGTTGGTGTTCGTGTACTCTTGTGGCCAGTTTTCTTCCTGTGTGTCCAGTGTAATGTTTGTTGCAGTCCTTGCAGGGAATTTTGTATATTCCAACGGACCTCAGAGTTTAAATACCAGGTGGGAAAACACAATAGCGTTTCATTTGAGGCTGCACTGATGATGTTACCCAGCAGGGTAATGAAACGTCTGCGAACTAACAAACCAGCTCAGCGAGTGAACCAACCACAACTCCGCAACCCAAGCTACAAATCTACTCAAGGACCTTAAATACAAATGGGATATCTTTATCCAAGTCATTTGGGTAATCCTGGCAATAAGCCCTCAGCATTGCCTTTAGGGTCTGATGCCACCTTTCCAATGCTCCCTGGGATTCAGGATGGTACGCACGTGACTTAAAGTGTTTAATACCTAAACCACACATGACTTCCTTAAATAATTTGGCAGTAAAATTGGACCCTTGGTCTGACTGAATCTCCCTGGGTAGTCCATAACGGGTAAAGAAAGCAAGTAACTTCTTCACAACCTTTTTTGCCTTGACATTCCATAATGGAATTACCTCTGGAAACCTGTTAGACACATCCATTATGGTTAGTAAATACTGGTTCCAAATTTTGCTTTCAAGGAGGGGACCTACACAATCAATCCTAACCTGCATTAAAGATTCTTCAAATGTGGGAATTGGCATCAAAGGTGCTGGTTTTATTACTACCTGTGGCTTTCCTGCCATCTGACACGTATGACAGGTATGGCAAAATTCAACCACCTGTTTCTGTTTCTGTAATCCAGGCTAGTAGAAATGTTTTTGTGTCTTAGCCTGAGTCTTCCTCACTCCTAGATAACCCTCTACAGGTAATTCGTGTGCTTCCCATGTACTTCCTGTTTCTATTCCACCGGCAACACAATCTGATGAACTTCCGCCCATTTCTTATCGGCACTGACCTGCCAAGGTCTCTATTTCTGCCTTTAGGATTTTATCCTTTCAGGTAATAGCATTCTGGAATACATTCTGATCCTTTTCCGAGTAGGCTTTATGATATAAATCCTTTATCATCTCATCTTTTTGTTGTAACTCCATTAATCTTTCAGAACTAAACACCTCTGCCTGATTCTCTACCGACTTAGTCAAACAGAGTGTCAGCTAACTGAACCTCAACTCCTTCATCTTTTGTTTTCCCTTCTTGTTTTAACTTATGGCTGTGGGATCTTCTCACCACACAGTCTGGAAAATTTCCAGGGTATTTTCCTCAACTCCTCAATTCCCCGGTTTTCTTTTTGGCTTCTCCGCTTCAATGGACATTGTCCCACCTGTGATCCAGCTATATTATTTCCAAGAACAAACTATTCCTAGAATTTTTCAATCACTCCCACCATCACTTCCTCAGTCTTGATTGGACTTTCTAGCCTTATCTTACATAGGGGAACACTAATTCTTTCTCCTTTTATTCCACAGATTATCTCTGTCTCGAGCAATATTTCAGAAGGAGTGCAAATATTTTCATCTCTTACTATTAGAGACTGACCAGCTCCCATTTCTCTCAATATTTTAACTTCTTTACCTACTCCCCCTGTTCTACCTGAGAAAACCTTACCCATACAAATTAAGTCTTTGTGAAGATCGGGTGTTATCTAACCATCCAGCCCATGACTAGGCTGTGCACTCTCCTGCAGCTCCTCGACTCCTCTGGGGATTTCCTTCTCTACCTCCATAATCCCACTGGTTTAGCCTCTTTTACCACCTCCTTTTTCCCAGTGCCTTTCTTAGGCCACCAGCACTGTGACTTTGTGTGGTCTATGTTATTGCAGTGAAAACACTTGAAGTCTCTCACCTGTTTTCCACTCTCTTGGGTTTCTTTTCTTCGCATGTAGTAAACTGTTCCTAATGTGATCTACTTTTTGTTTTTCATTGAAGGATCTCCCTCTTTGTCCATTTTCTGTGGAATTGCTGTCGTAAGCTAGATTTCGATTTATGCACAAATGCATATTCATCCATCTCTGCGGCTGTTCTCACTGC